GAATATAAGAGTAAAATATAAATTAAGGCCAATGGAAGCACTCAAAGAATTAGGGAGATAAAATTAATCCCTCCTTTATTTTTTATTTCTTCTCTTGGCCTTATATAGCTTCCAGGAGAGTACTGTTAACAACTCAAGTTATGTACTGGTTTCCATCTAATATGGTACTGTACATGTCATTTTAATGTCTTGGAGAGTGCCAGGCACAGAAAATGTTCAAAATTTACTCTTTAATCTTCTTATAGACCACCAGACAATAACAGATCCATGGATTGACAAAGTTAGGTTTATTAATTTGATATAGTAAGAGAGTCTGCACATTAGAGTAATGATGGGGCATTTTGCAAAAACAAAGGAAGGAAAATCCAGTGTTCTTATGGTTTGAGAGTAAGGTACAAATGAAATTTAAACGAATAGTTCTCTGATAGGTTAAAAGCAAAGGAGGGTTGTGTTAGGAAGAGGCCAGGACTGAAAAGTGAGCATAGGGTCCTGTTTTCTCAAAACTACAGAAATGAATGTCAACTCTTGATCTGAAAACACATTACCTGAAGCTTTGATTTGAGAAAGAAACAGGAAACTACTCTGTGTCATAGTGCTTACATAGTTCAGCTTCCCAGTAATGGTGAAAAGTTCCCATCTCATTAATATTTTTAAAATGAGGTTTCTGATAATCTATGGATTTAGAGAATTAAGTTTTTCAGTGTTGTCACTGTAATTAATTAACAAAAGAATTTTTGTAGCTTTATATATTGTAGCTTTTCAATATATTTGAATTATTAAAGCATGATTTTAAAACATCAGTTTTGCTGTGAAGCAGGAGCATGACTATCTTGGGAATGAATGAGGAAGAAAGCAAAGGAACTTAGGTAAATTGGGGACAAACCATTTGTTCAGACCACTTGTAGGCTAGTACTAAGAGACTGGAGCTTTCCTGGAAACTGATAGGCCAGAAATATCACTTAAAGAGACACTTGGACTCACTCTATGTGACCCCACCCAAGGAATCTATCTGCTGGGATGAATGACTGCAAGTAGATGGAAGCAAGAACTAACACAGAATCATAGGTGTCAATCAGAAAGTTCATCACTGATATCATGAAACTACATGGCATAAATTCTTCAGGTCCCTCTTAAGGGACCTATATATTTAGTTCCCATCAATAGCCAAGAGAGAATTGACTCCCTATGCCCAGAGAATCTTGAAGCAGAAAGAGAAGGTGAAGGAACAGAGAAAGCAAGGGCTATATCTCCTACCCTGCTGCAGTCCCTGAGATCAAAGGACATAATCCTAGAAGTAAGATTAGTATTTGTAATTGGATTAAAAGTGAATTCTAAGTAGTGAATTGTTTTAAAAATCAAATGAATAGGAAATCTAGGGAATATTATAAGGAAGAGAGATCCACTAGAGCATGTTTGAAGCTGTAAAATAAAGTTTTTGTTTCTTCATTTTTTTGGTAGCCCACTAGGTTCAAGTAATTTAACCATTCAGTAAATTAGTGACATACAGGTGCCTTTACTTCAATGAGATACATTTTAAAACAATGCTGAAACAAAAAGCATATAAGTACATTTTATCTGAATAAATAAATATTCAGTTGCTTTTCCAAAAGACTGTGACAAAAATTTGCCCACATATGCACAGCAATATTTGATTGACTATACCAAATATTTTCCAGTTTGATAGTTATAAACTAATATATTCCTATGGAATGGAATCAGTATTCACTTTACTATTGGTGAGGCCAATCATTTTCTCATCTAATAATGGCTCATTTATAATTCTCTTTTGGAAAATTACCTGCTTATATCCTTTACATGCTTACCCATTAATTCTTTTCCAAAATGTTTTAGTGACCTATATTTTCTGACACTTTATCACTTGTTTATATATTTTTTTATATTGAGAGGGTGGTCTAGCTTTATAGTTTCACAGAAAGGTTATTTATTATACCATTTATTGGCAGAAGAATTGTCTTTGAATGTTTAATATATTTCAATTTTTTGATTGAACAATAAACACTTAAATGTATAAGCATATATGCAGGTAAATATCCATTCAGGTTGCACGTTTTTAAAATTCTGTATGCTAATCAAATCAATCCCTAATTACAAATGGACTTAAGCAAATATTCTAGAACAGGGTGCTACTTCCCTACCTTTTATGGATTCTATGTCCAAATACCAGAAATAAGCAAGTCACATTATATTATAAGAGGTTGATTTTCCTTGTAGTAGCCAAAATTTCAGGAAAATAATACTTTTGTTCATCTGGAATTTAAAGGTAAAGAATAAATCTGTAAATAACTATGAGTGAAATTCACACACAATCATCTATAAAAAATAACACAGCATAATAATGAATATTACATTTATCATAATTTTACGAAGAAATCTTTAGCCTTGTTTCTTAAAATCATCATACAAATCAATGAATATATAATACCTGATTGCCAGCAGAATGTATTTTATTTCTTGTGAGTTATATTAATTTACATGCTTTAACATTCAATGATCATCAAACTATTTGTAAGATTCTGTGTCAATGATGGGAGAATGGGGATATGAATTTATCAATTCCTGCCTTCAAGGAGCTTACCATTGATAACAAAATCATTTTTATACATGTAACTATAATAAAGCCTAGACTTCTATGCTAGATGTAAAAAGTACTGCAAAAACCAAGATGAAGATATTGTGCTTTGGGAAAAAGGAAAACTCTTTGATGGTGGTTATTTTGAATCAAGTTACTAAATTTTGAGATAGCAATAAAAAACTAAAAGTTTGAAATATATGATCTCTAAGGCTGGGGTTGTGGCTCAGTGGTAGAGCACTTACCTAGCATTTGTGAAGCACTGGGTTCATTCTCAGCACCACATATATAAATAAATTAGTAAATAAAGTAAAGGTCCATTGACATTTAAAAAATATTTTTAAAAATCTGATCTCTGGTCTTTTAGCCCCTGTAATATAGAGAAGACAATGGAAGAGGTAGGGAGGGTGTTGGCTGACTGTAGACAATTTAATGAGGTCATATTTAAACGACTGGAAGAAGGAAGCTAATCAAGTAAATAATTGTGAGAAAGGATTCCTGAGTGAACAACAACCACAAAGATCTGAGCTGTGGGTCTGAAGAGCATAAGAGCCAGGTCATTGGTGGTCCACAGCAGTGTAAAGGAGGTAGAGAATAGATATCAAAAAAGTAATTTGCTGGTGAGCCAGATCATGTCAGTTCTTATAGAACAAAGAAAGAGCTTCATCTTTTTCTCTGAAAAAAAGCCAGTAGAGAATTTTGAGGATTTAACAAAATCATTCTGGTCTCTGTGATAAGAATATATTGGGGAGTTCCTTTTTAATCATAATAAATAGGCTTTGCCATTGTAAAAATAAATACTAAAATATCAATGTAGTTAACATAAAAATCTTATTTTCTACTTATGCAAACTTGAGTGGGAGTCAAGCAATTCTGCAGGGCAGTTGGCCAGTTGTCACTTACATACTGACTTGTTATTCTTGGCAATATTTACCTTGTAGTTCTACCATCTAAACGTGTCCTCCACACACACACACACACACACACACACACACAAAAAGCTTCCATTGATTTACCCCAACACACACCTACAAAACAACAAAAAACAAAAAAAAACATTGGTTACCAATTTTTCTTCAGATAATCAAGTTTCTTACCAAACGCTTAAGGCTATCTCTGACTACCGAAAATTTGGGGATGAATTTTTCTCCCCAATCAGTGCTCCAGGAGAACAGAACTGACAGCATAACTTTGATGTATTGTTACATCTGCTACATCTCTCACAAGCACCTGTATAGCAAATAAAAAAACCAGGAAGAGGCATTCCAGTTCTCTACACTGTAGCAGCTGCACCTAGGGTGGTGCACCTGGGGGGCTGGATTTCTGACCTTCATTGTATTTACATTATAGGCAGAGTACTGGATCAGAGTGTGGACTTGGAGTCAGACTACCAAAGATCAAATCCCACCTCGTGTATTAGGTGTTACAATCCCTTTTTACTTCAGTGTCCTCAAAAAAAGGGGGGAAGAGTACCCACATTATGTGTGTGTGTGTGGGGGGGGGGGGTTGAATGTGTGCTTGAGCATGTTTGGTTATTAGGATATCTCTTCCTAGAAGCTGATAATTCTCTGAAATGAACACTGGCAGGCTGTATGCTCCTGCTAATGCAAGGAAATACTTTCTGTCCCTTACATGGAGTTCTCCTATTTACACAGACTCTAAGTGTCTACAGATCTGACTACAGAACCGGCTACCTCTGGGTTTTACAATCCCAAAGTGTAAGGACACACCCCATATTTCTGCAGAGTTAGCCTCCTCCAGAGCCTGTCACAGTCACTTCCTCAAGGCTGGGATTAAGAGCCCAGAGAGCAAAGGCTCCAGAGCGCGCGCCCGCGCGCGCACACACACGCGCAGGGGTGAGTCCTTCTGCCCTTTCGTGTACACACGTACTTTTATTTACGTGATTCGGGGATGTTTGTTTCTCCTTTAATTATGACTTTTTAAAAGAATCCTTCTGTTTCTCAGGGCCAGTTTTTGTTTATAGTACCTTCGACAGCTACCTGGCATTTAAAACCTCTTACTTTACCTTCGCCTTAGCACCTCCTACTTCGGTTTGTGGGAAGTATCACCGCCAAGGGCCCGCGCGACCGTGGCTCATTATCGCGAGAAGGAGACAACCTCTCGCGGTGTTTCCTTGTTTCCAGAATCCTTAGCGCGAAGCGGAAAAGATACTCTTTTTATCTCAGGTTCTGTTGATGCTGCAGTTTTGACGGAGGCTTCTTCCGTGTGTTTCTTCTGCTTTTTCTCCAAGGGAAATGGCGGCTCCCGAGCAGCCAATGCCCATACCGAGAGGATGCCCAAGCTCCACGTCGCTCTCCCCGCCCCGGGGCGACAGAACCCTTCTAGTGAGGCATTTGCCGGCAGAGCTGACCGCGGAGGAAAAAGAGGACTTGCTGAAATACTTCGGGGCGCAGTCGGTGCGCGTTCTGTCAGATAAGGGGCGACTGGTAAGGATGCACTCCGCCGATTCTTCCCGGAAGGTCCTTGAGTAGTGATTCGAAAAGTGGAATGCCAAAAAGAAAGGATACCGGGACCAAGAGTGAAGGGGCGCTCTTGTCGTGGGAGAGTCCGGGTCTTTCCTCTTAAGTCAGACTACTTTGCGCTAGAAGTGAAGCTTTAATTAGCTCCAGTCTCAGTAATCACATCGCTGCGGAAAAGGCAAAAGAGAAAGGCAAAGTAGACGAATGGGTAAAATAGTATATTAACACTTAAAAATTCCTACGCAGGAATTCATACACTTTTTTATTAATATATTAGAAGTGTCTTTAATGGTTATTTCTTCACTTCAATATTAGTGGGGACGTTAAGTTTGCAAGATGACCCACAGTAAAGCAAGATATCAGTTGTTTTATTAAAGTTTTCTTCTTAGATGATTCTAATGTGCAGCCAAGGTTGAGAATCTGTAAGTTAAAAACCAGTTTTGATCAGTCTTAAGTGTCATGTATGCCAACAAATACAAATAAAAATGCGCCTTTTGTTCAGTTTAAATACATTCAGGTCATCTTGTTTCAGATTAGGCGAAATTAATAAGTGTGATATTAATTACCCAAGCAATTTCTTGTAATTAACATTGACAACTTATCCCTAATATGATAATTAGTTTACTTTTGGCTTTTTTGTTTGTTTGTTTTTGGTAATTTAAAAAGTATTTTCAACATGTACTTAAAAGTAGAATTCTTCCATTGAAACTTGTTACAAAAATAAAGCTCAAATGAAACATACATATTGAAAAATGATTTCTGCATTTTGTGAACACTTTTGAATTTTGCCTCAGACTGTATAGATTAAATTATAGGATCTCTGGATTTGTTATAAATAGGGGATAAATATATAACATATTTAGAATTTAAGATTTAGATGTTTAAGATTGATTCTCTGTGTATAGTATAGGTTTTTAAATTTCTGGTTTATTGGCTGTTTGTATACATAACACATGCTAGGTTGTACATCTTTATATGAAAAAGCTGCATAGCTTTTATTTCTGTCTGACCCAAACAAAGAATGAAACTAGTAATCAGTTAAATAGTCTCAATGCCCCATTCTTTACTGTGGTTTTATAGGAACTGAAATTATATTGCAAGTAATTTGTACATTTACTCTGTTTCAGAAACATACAGCTTTTGCTACATTCTCTAATGAAAAAGCAGCTATAAAGGTATGATTTTTTTCTTTACTTTTAAAGTTGTCAGTAATTTTTTTATTCTTAGTTTGGGTACAAAAATGGGAAGTAATATTAAACTCTAGTTTTTAGAAGTGAAAACTTTGTATTCCAAGAGTATACCCAACAGGTTGATTTGGTTGTCAGTTGGCAGACTTTGTCCAGTGCTTAGTTATTGGAACTCAGAAGTGGTAGGCTAATTATAAAATCAACTATATGTGTAATTGAAAATAACAAGTTCTGAAAGAATGTAAAATGGATAACTATCTCTGTAAATGTTACAAGGAAAGATGTGTTAAGTATTAAAAAGTAGAAACCCAGGGAATCATTTGTGATGGAGCTGACTTTTAAACTAGATCTCTAATGATTAGTTGGATTTTAAGAACAGAGGCTGGCCTTCCACATTTAGGAAACACTTTAAGTAAAGCCATGCCATGGAAAGTTTTAAGTGGGAGCTAGGACCTGAGATGGAAAGAGGACTTGAAAAATATAGTCTATGGGCTGAGGTAGTGGCTCAGTGGTAGAGCATTCGCCTAGCACATTGGAGGCCTGGGTTCAATCTTCAGCACCAAATAAAACAATAAATAAATAAAATAAAGGTATTGCTTCCAACTACAACTAAAAAATAAATATTTTTTAAAAATATAGAGAGTCTAAATTTGAGTAGAAGAGAGGTATGGAATTTTATTTAGTAGTTTGTTCTAAAGGCATTGGATACTTTTGAGCTGGCTAAAAATACAACCAGCCCTTTGAAAAATACACAATGGTGTTTATATCTCAGATTGGATTTGGAGAAATAGTGAAGACAAGAAAACCAAATAGAAAGATGTTTTAGTGGCCAAGGCAAGAATAAATATCTGAAGAAAACAAAGGGCAAATTACATAAACATTTGGTAAAGATTGAGTTTATAGGTCTTGTGTCGTAGGGGTTGAGAGAGAGAGAATAGTCAAAATTTTTGTGGTTGAGAATTTAAATTGGGACCGTGCTGCTTCTGAGGATCTTCTATAAGAATTTGGAGTAGGAATATGTTTGTAAAGGTATGTAATGAATTCATATATTACCTATTAATTTTGAGAAGTCATTGGGCTACTTCTGTGGAATATTTGGTAAATATTTAAAAATACCAGTCTAGAGTTAAGGCAAGGTCAACAATGGAAAATTTCTTCAACTATGTGAATAGATACGGTAGATATCATGACCCACTGGAAGATGAGCCCAGAGAAAAGACTGGGAGGGAAAAGTTAAGGAAGTAGGATAACTAGAAAAGAAATTTTCATAAATGCAAAAAGAAGAGTGTTAAGAAGACCAGCTCCTGTGATGACACATACTGAGGAACGAACACAGTGTATTAAGGACTTTTTACCATGAAACAATAGAAATTACCCAAATTCTCATCAATAAGGAGAAAGGGATAATTTGAAATGCAGATTGAGCATCCCCCATCTGTAACACTCCCAACATCTGAAATTTTCAGCTCCAACACATAGCCACAAAGTGGAAAAGTCTATACTTGACCTCGTGGAACAGGTCACAAAGTGCATGCACATTAAAATTATTGTATAAAATTACCTTTAGGCTATATGTAAAAGTTATTTCCAAAACATAAATGAATTTTTATGTTTAGACTTAGGTCCCATCTAAAAGTTATCTCATTATATTCCCCAAATCTGAAAAAATTCCAAAATCTGATTTCTGGTCCTAGGCATTTTAGATAGGTGTACTTAATCTGTGTGGATGGTTCGGGTCATATTTTGGTGGTAATTTGAAGAAAGTGAAGGAAGTTAGTTTAAGAAGTATTTGGGAGAAGTGCATTCCAGTCAGAGGAACAGCTAGAACAGAGAGGTCCTAGGGTATAAACATGCCTTTTGTGTTCAAGGAAGCCTCTGTGACAGGAGCACGCCAAATGAAAGGGAGAGCATTGGATTTGAAATCAGAGAAGTAAGTGTCCTCACTATGGAGTTTATATAAGGAATTTAGATTTTACCCTGAGAAAAATGATTTCTACTAGTATTTTAAGCAAGGTAGTGACATAACTCTGACTTATAGTTAAAAGAATCACATTGCTTGTGTTAAAATAGGCTGAAGAAGGGGGAGAGTAGAAATGGGAGAGTTTACTAAAAAGTTATTATAATTTAGTCCAAAGATGATTTTGCTTAGATAATCATTGCTCAGTTGTAGCACTGGAAACACTAAAGCAATGGTTAGATTCTGGGTATATTTTGGAGGTAAAAATAATCAAGATTTCTTAGAGCCTTGAATATAAAATATAGGAAAGAAGTGGTTAGGATAATTCTAAGATTTTTGACCTGATTAACTGGAAGAATGGAATTATTCTTAACTGAAAAACTGGTCCTAGGCATTTTAGATAGGTGTTCTTAACTGAAAGAGAAAAGGCTCCAGATAAAGGACATTGAGGTTGGGTGAGTATTAAGTGGTTCAATTTCTGAAATGTTAAATTTGAGATGTTTGACACTTGAGAAAAGATATTCATTATTTGGATATTTGTTCCTGGATTCAGGACAGTTCTGGGCTGAAGTTATAAATTCAGGATTTTCATTATATTGATGATATTTAAATTTAGAATGCTGGATTAGACCACCAAAAGAATGTATTTAGATAGGGAGGAAGACCAAGAATAGAGTTTTGGAGCATTCTAACATTAGGAATGTGAAAAAGCACAAGTCAGAGATTGATTAGTAAAATAAAATAAAAAACAGCGAGCTAAAAAAAAAATTATATTATAAATGTGTATATTTATATACATTATTTTATGTATGTTATTTATATTTACATATGTCATAATATAAATGATGCCTGAAAACAAGCAAATAACCATTTACCAAGGTGTATGTATTTATAAAATGTAGTGTAGAGAAGAATAAGTGTAGTATCATTGGCTTGGTAATGCAAAATTTCTAGTTGTCTATGAAAGGCAGTATCAGGGGATTTCATAAGCCTGACTGGAATAGATTTGAGACTGAATGGAAGGAGGTATAGATAAGAGAGTTTAGATCATTCTAAAGGATTTTAGTGGCAAGAATAAGAATAAGCAATGGTAAGCAGGATCATAGCAGAAAGAAAAAAAATCAGGGTGGGAGAAATAGGAGTATGTTTGTATGATGTGGGAGATCCAACAGGATTGAAAATTAATAATGTAGATAAGAACACCCCCTTGTACATGTCCAGAGAATAGCTGAAGAAAGACTTTAATAGATGAGGGTTTGATTTAGTTTGCAAATCAAGCAGCTGGATTTAGATTTAAAATATGCATAGTTAATTTGTGTGACAGAAAATATGTTGATGCAGATGACGATAGATAGGGAGTTATGATAGGACTCTGAAATTCTCATCTTGTTTATTCAGTTACCTCAAAGTAAGGATATAAGGTGCTTTGCTGAGAATGGGAGAGAAAATATTGTAAGGGTAAGGATCAAGGAGGAAGTATAAAATATTTTGTTCATATATAACTGTGACATTATTAAGAAGTGGTTGCATTTGTGAATGGGACCATGCAGATTTGTTTTATATATATATATATAAATTTTTTTCTAGCCATTTTCAGCTTCCTATAACAATATCTAATTTCACTTTTATTTGTGCATTGGGATCCTGAGTATTGATAAAATAAATAGTTTCCTAATTATAAGAAGAGTTTGCAGAGGGTTGGAGTTAGGTAGATTTTTTTATTTTGCTCAGATATAGGAAGCAGTCCTTTGATAAGTAATAAAGATTTGAACATAGGAAGGTTATGTCCAATTCATTCCATTGTGTTTCCTATGTTCATATATGAATATAGCATAGTCAATCTCCACATCATGTACAATCACAAGAATGGGATGCTAATTAGAATAACATATACTTCATGTATGTATAATATGTCAAAATATACTCTACTGACATGTATATCTAAAAAGAACAGATAAAAAATTTAAAAATTAGGTTGTTTAACAAATCAATTTTAAGAAAGTAATAAACACTTGATAGATAGCCTGAGATTAGAAATGAACAAGAAATAGCCAAGTAAATAAGTAAATGTTTATAGCCTTAACAACAATAAAACATGTATACAGTTTTTTGTTTGTTTTGTTTTATTTTTCTTTTTAATGTGATACTTAGCAAATAGTTTTTGATATAGTAAATTTTTTACTCTTGTTCTTCCAATTGAAGGCATTGACAAGACTTCATCAGCTGAAACTTTTAGGTCATACTTTAGTAGTTGAATTTGCAAAAGAGCAAGATCGCATTCATTCTCCATGTTCCACTTCAAGCACTGAAAAAAAGAAAAGGTACGTAGATTCATTTAGGTTTTCCTACCATTTTAGGTTGGGGAGTGTGCGTGTGTGTTAGCCAGTTGTGTAATTACTTCATTGTTCTCAGACTAGCAAGTAAAATAATTTGAAGCCATAATGATAAATTTCTTCATTAAATCAAGTATAGTAAAACAATATCTAATTTCACTTCTAATTGTGCATTGGGATCCTGAGTAATGATAAAATAAATGTAAAGTGAGATGGAAATGTGGTGAAAGCATTCCACTTTTAGTGGAAAGGAGGTAATTACAGCTCGTTTATTTCTTATCCAAAATGGTTGTCACCAGATGTTTCAGATTTTTTTTTATTATTATTATTTTGAAATATTTGCAGATACATAATGAGTTATCTTAGGGATGAGACTCAACATGAAGTTTATGTATTTTCATGTATACCTCATATACATAGCCTGAAGATAACTTTATGTGATATTAATAGTGTGCCTGTTACATGAGGGTAGGTATGGAATTTTACACTTCTGGTATGATGTTGGCTCTCAAAAAGTTTCATATTTGAGAGCATTTGGTATTTCAACTTATAAAAGAGATTCCTTTCAGTAATGATACTAAGCTGTCATGAATACGTGTGGCCTTTGAAAATGATGACCAGTATTTGGTTCTCAGTTACGACTCTTTGTTATATAATCTTTACAAATTTGCTTTACACAAGTGGGTCTCAAAGTAAATCCCTGGACTAACTGAATCATCTAGAAACTTGATTAAAATATCGAATTATACAGAATCCTAGGCTTTAATACTCAATCTTACTGAATCAGAAACTAAAGGGGGAGGGACAAGGAAGTACAGTGCTAGACATCTGTGAGATTGGACAAAGATATAAAAAAAAAATGGAGTACCACTTATGTACTATATAAATTTTATTTTATTTTTTGGTCTTTGAGAATTATCATGCCAAATTTATAAATTTCCTGTGAAAAGGAAATGAAAACGTGGAATGTCCAATTTTACAATAATACAAAAGGTTTTCAGTACAATTCTGCTTCTCTTTTCATTGATGCCTGCTTGAGAAATGCTTGAAAGGTTTTTTTTTTTCCATAACTGAATTGTTTTCATAATGTCATGTTTGAAAAAATTCTTTTTCTTTTCTGTATGTAATTTTAAGATAAGATCAACTTATGTTCTGTCTAGGTCTGATGACACTGTGGAAGATGATAAAGAAAAGAAAGAATTTGGTTGTTTAACAATAGAAAATGGAATTGCACCAAACCACGGGTTAGCATTTTTTTGTTTGTTCTTTTGTTGATTTTATGGCTTTTGTTGCTCTCTATGTGTGTGTGTACACATTTTACAATAATGCAAAAAATTTTTATTATTTGCAATATATACATATATTGCAAATAAAAAAATTTTTAAATGAATAAATTTAGCATGTCACGTATAATGTTAATACGCTGAATAAACATCTAGAGCTAGGTGCTTGTCACTGAATTCAGTTCAAAAAGCACCTATTAAAGTGTTCAGAGCTATATGTAAGCTCTGAAAATGTCTCTTCCTTTTGTGATGCAATCAGAAGGCAAGTTTCTTCTTAGAAGTACTTGTTTGGATCTTTAAGGAACAAGGTAACTAACTTTAAGTGTATCATTTGAACAATTTTGTATATTGTCAGTTTACCTAAAGTGAGTTATTGATATGAAATTATTAAAACATAATAAACACTCAATTTTTTTATTTTTTATTTTTTTAGGTTGACTTTTCCTCTGAATTCATGCCTCAAGTATATGTACCCGCCACCTTCAAGCACAATCTTAGCAAACATAGTAAATGCTTTAGCAAGTGTACCTAAGTTCTATGTACAGGTATATAAAATAAAACTTATTTTTCTCAAAATACTTATTTGTTTAGCTCAATACTATATTTTCCATGATGATTTTCATACTTATGTATAATAGTATCAATCAGACTAATTCTAGACAGGCAATGATATACAATGCATTCATTAACTACATTGAAAATGGATTCTAATAAAGAGAACCTAATTTGGGAAATGTCATTTCTGGTAATTTTCTGTTATTTTAGAATATACCATTAGTATGGAATTTCCTAAGGAAAGAGTGGGTCCTTCAGCAAGTGCTTGGTAATTTCAGCAGTAATAGGATACTTCTTTGAAGTAGAAAATATATGTGTTTTTCATTATTGTACTCTGTTTGATTAACTCAGTAATCAGTAACATTGATAGAGTAACATTAGATTTTACATTATAAGAGCATTACATTCTTATTAGTGGGGATAACTATATTGATAGAAATGACAAAAAAATTTAGGAAGACTAACCTGAGATATATCAGTGCTTTGTTTTTCCTTGTCTTGGGATCATAAAGAGAAGAAATGGCCTTTCTTTTCACTCATTTAATCAGTAGTGTTTTTACAGAAGGTTTTTAGTACATGAAATACAGGATGTGAGTTGAAACATTATGTGAATACTGTATGATTTTAAAACTCTTGCCACTTTAAGGTACTTCATCTTATGAATAAAATGAATTTGCCTACACCTTTTGGACCAATTACTGCACGACCTCCCATGGTAAGAAACCACGTAGAATTTTCAACTTTCATTTACTGAATGAAATTATTGAGGATAAATTATACAAGTATTATGTCAACCTCTGATGTATGGTGAAGATAAGAAATACATATAAAGTAAATGTGATATTAATAATAAAGCTGAGAAGGAAAAGAGGAAAACCAGAATATGAAAGTTTTGGTAATAGAGACCAAAATTTTTTATAGCATTGTTCAATTCTTTAACCTACAATGTTGCATCATTACAACATAACCACAACAATAGAAACATCTAAAAATTCCATTGTTGTGACTCTGTTGTATCATTTGAGAAAGACAAAAAAAAAAGGTTGCTAATACTATATTAAAATTTACCTGCATATCTTGTAGTAATTTAGACATTAAGCTATGTCTACTCTTAAAATTATTCCAATGTAATACTGTATATATTTATGGATAATAATAATGCAAAATTATTTTGAATGTTACCATAGAAGAGAATTTGCATTGAGCTTGACTGCTTTTCTGCTATATGTAGTGTTAGCTTTATAATTTTTTTTTGTAGCTTTAGCACCTACTCAGTGCTTGTTATAGGGTTTTTATGATTATGCCAGGGGCTGGGATTGTGGCTCAGTGGAAGAGTGCTTGCCTGGCATGTGTGAGGCCCTGGGTTCGATCCTCAGCACCACATAAAAATAAATAAATAAACAAAATAAAGGTATATAAAAAAACAAAAAGATTGTGCTAGCAGCTGTTAATGAACAAAATTTACTCTTAACTCTTTTAATACAGTAAGTTATTTCTTGTTCACGTTGTTTCCATTCCAAAATTATGATAGAAAGATATTCTATTCTAAGTTATTCAGAAGCCTGAGTTGTCTTCACCCTGTGCCTTGTCAGGTTGATGAGGGCATTACCAAATAGTCTGCAGATCAGGAAGGGAAAATTATGATAGAGTTCTTTTTTCTCCTATTTTTGGTTACATGGCAAACAATAACTCTATAAGAGGGGCTTTCAAAGTTGGTCCAGCTAGAGGCCAAAGAAGACAAAATAAATTTTGTGATCAATTAGTAGTCTGCCACAGCACACATGAGTATGTTTCTGTGCTGAATATGCAAAAGAATATTATGAAGTAAAGGGAAACAAGAATCAAGTATTTACATGGAAATTGGTTTGTCTGTTCTGTAAATATCACGGATTGCCATAGCATTTTTGTTTTGTTTTTTAAATTAGTATGAAGACTATATGCCATTGCATGCACCTCTCCCACCTACATCTCCTCGGCCACCTGAGGACCCTCCTTTGCCAGATGAGGATGAGGAGTTATCTAGTAAAGAATCAGAATATGAAAGCAGTGATGATGAGGACCGACAGAGGTTAGTAATAAGAATAAATTGTTTAGATTGTAAGAAGCATAGAATGTGGGAAAGACTTTTTTGTTCTTCCTATACTTTGCATATAATTCTTCAGATTTTGGAGTCATTAGAATTTGTTCATAGCCATCACCCCTCTAGCATGCAATGTTTGATAAATTAAGACCTGAGAATAGGTACTAGGACCTAAGGGAATATTGGGGGAGTATGCATAATTTTTTAGATGAGTGATTGTGGCATTAAAAGCACACCATGAAACTTCATTATTTATGGATTTGTGTTTGTGAATTTGCCTACTTGATATTTTAGCTAGCCCCCAAATCAATAGTTTATAATATATTTTTCAAGTATTTTGTGGATCTGGATGCGCATAGCTTGGTGCAAATTTATTTAAGTCATCTGACATGGAGATATCAAATGAGGTCAAATAAAGTGGCTGTGTTTGTTGGCATTACATCATTATAATGAAGTGCTTGAGATAATGAACTTAAAAAAGGGCTTTATTTATTTAATTATTTACTGGCCTCTCCAGTTGTGGAGGTTCTGGTTTATTGGCCTCATTATTTTAGGCATGCGATGAGGCAGCACATCACACATAGCACAGCAGAACTACTCGCCTTATGGTTAGAAAGAGAAAGAGATCACACCTCACAGTACACTTCAAGGGCATGCCCTGGTTGACATCAGGACCTTTCACTAGGCCCTACCTCCTAAAGATTCCATTACTGCCTAAGAGGGCCACCCTGGAAACCAGGCTTTTAAACACAAGGCCTTTGGGGGATATTCAAGATGCAAACTTTGTCAGTGACTCTCTGCCTTCTTGTTTTAGCTCTCATACTATATACAAGTGTTCTTTGCAAAGTCTGTTCAGTGTTGTATTTTTCACATTTTTGAGTTTTTGTTGGTCATTTTGCTGTTTAGAATCGCAGTGTTACCTTGTATTCATTTCTGCTGTTAATTCATCTTTATGAGAGAAAACAAAACTGCATATAGTAACCTGTGTTTCCATGCTTTTCTGTCACTCTGTAACAGAACTTTAAAAAAAAAAGGAATATTTATTGGTTCAGCATATGTTTTTTGAGTATCTAATATATATGCATGACCTTGATTTAGAGACTTGGTATACTTCAGGTGAGCAATTTATGTGATTTAAATCACTGGATTTTTCATAAAATTTTTGGTAAGTTGTGTAATTAAGAGAGTTTAAAAATTTACATCGTATGTTTACATTTTTCTCTGGGGGAAAAAAATTTAAAACCTATTTGAGCCATACCTCCTCTCTGTTTTGTTGAGTGTATTTGTTGTGCTTCCAAATTTTACAAATGAAATTCTGAGAGTTAGAATTATGACTGGTGGCTTCTGAGCTCCTTCTTTATGGAAAATGCAAAAATGCTTAGGTAAGGTATAAATATTAGCTATTCATATTCATAATGGAGGAAAGCTATGTACAAGGTATCAATACTACTTCCTAATTATTACTTGCAGGCTACTCCCACCCCCACTTCCTTACCCCAGGGCTGGGGACTGAACTCAGGGCCTTGCATGTGCTAGTCAAGTGCTCTGCCACTGAGCTAAATCCCCAACCCTGCAAGCTACTTTGAGTGAAGTATTTGAAAACTGTTCTTAGGTAGCTTGTTACCTTACCTTGCTTATATAATGGTTTATTTGCAGCATTTATTCATATGATGCTTTTCAGTGAAATACTTTTTGGTCTATGGTCTGTTTGAATATGAATCAAAATAGTTTTACTCTCTTGGTAAAGTCTTTTGAATATCTGTCAAGAAAATATCAATAAAGTTACATAAATTGTATTAAGGTATCAGTTCTTTTGTTTGGTATGAGTCCACCATTTTATTTGGACAACTAATAATGTTTATAATGAAAAATATTTTTAAGATAATTTGATAAATTTTAAGTAAATTCTTAATTCTTTCAAAGAAAGTTAGAATATAAGCTCCATCAAATCTTTCAAAGAAAGTTAGAATTTAAGCTCTGTCAAATTTTTTATCCCTTTATTTATGTCTTCGAATTTCTTATCCCATGTAAATATATTCCATATTAGATAAGTGAATTGTGTTATAATTTATTTTTATACATCCAAATTCAAATTTAAGCTTAACACCAACAGTATTGAATAATTATGCTTCTAGATAAGGATCTTGTTTACACTCCCTCTTTTCCAATATAGAATGACCAAACTAATGGAACTAGCAAATTTTCAGCCCAAAAGACCAAAGATGGTAAAGCAGCGCCATGTGAGAAAAAAGCGAAAAATAAAGGATATGTTGAATACACCCTCATCTTCTTCACACAGGTAGTTTTATATAGAATTATGAAAGTGAATGCTGTCCATATGTACTTTGTTTACTTGCTTAACTCACATTACTCCTAAATGTAGCTTTTGTTTAATACACATTTACTTGGTTCACCATTGGCTTCCTATTTGCACATTCATAACTATTCATAATTTTCTCACAGTTTACCATTGTTTAATAATACTGAGTAGCCCGGTTCTCAGAATTTTCCACCTTTCATTTTATAACATCATGTTCTCTTTTTGTCTTTTCTATTTAGTGTCTCAATATTAATTGAAATTTTAACTTCATTTAGTTTTTCTATTAGATATATTTGTCTTGTAATTAACTTTATAAGTTAAGAGGGGAGTTTTAAAATTTTTTTTATTTTTAAAGGAATATATTTTTAATCACTTATTTCAATTTAAGTAGAAATAATATGATATATAATTTGATGCCTACCTGACTTGACACTGCTATTCCATACTTTTAATCTCTATAGCAGTACTGAACAACAGAAACAATGTGAGCCACATTAAACTTTCCAGTAGCCACATTAAAACAGTAAAAAGAAGCAGATGAAATTAATGTTGATAATATAACTATGTAACATGTATATCTAAAATATTATTTAAGCCTAATTCAGTATAAAATTGAGATATTTATTATATATTTGTTTTTCATAACAAATCAGCAGCCACTTATAGCTGTTATTTACTTTGTTAACACAGGGCTGCTGCATACTGTATAAAATATAGTGCATTAAAAATTTATACATTAATATAAATTTAACTTTTTTGAGTATATTAGTAAATACCATGGTGTATAAAATCAGTAGTCAAGTAATTCAAGTACTGCCATTCATTTACCTGGTAACTTTATGCAAATTATTAGCATCTTTTAACCTCAATCTCCTCATCTGTAAAGTAGAAATTTAGTAATACATTAGTGCATATCTTAGAGTTTACTGAAGTATTTAAAACACTTTATGCAGTGCTTATAAGTGTATTGAATGTTTTATCAAACTTTTTAAAATTGGGAATGAAATAATATTCTCGGGATTTGCAATTACAAATTCATGCTGTGGTTATTTTTAAATAGCAATGTACATCCTGTGCTGTTACCTTCGGATGTATTTGACCAACCACAACCTGTAGGTAATAAAAGAATTGAATTCCACATATCCACGGACCTGCCAGCTGCATTGAAGAAAGATTTAGAGAAAGAACAGAATTGTGAAGAAAAAAATTCTGGTAAGAATATGAGTTCTTTCACATGATAAAGTCAGTCTTATTGCATTAGAATTAAATTTCATATATAATATTTGTCTGTTTTCGTATTTGTCAGTTTTATTTAAAATATGTGACTAGGCTTCCTTAATATCACGAAATAATATACATTTTCAGCTGTTTTATATACATAAAACTTAGTTTGCAAGGTTGTCACTATTACTTTTTTGCTAGTAATGACATCTAGAGTGAAATTTATGTTTTCTGGCTGGTATATACACTAATAATACAAGAGTTTTGTGTTGTCTTAACTTCTCATTGCTTGTTTAATGTGATGTTCTATGGTTTTATTAATGTCATTGTATTATTAGGAAACAATGTAGCTATCCTGTGAGTTGTAGATTTTACACATGTATCTATATTTGTGTGTGTGTGTGTGTGAGAGAGAGAGAGAGAGAAAGAGAGAGAGAGAGAATATGGGTGTATTTTTTTTTTAATCCAAAACTTTTGGAGGATTGTTTACCAGATACTATTTTTACAGTTAAATTTAGCATATTAAAAATTACAGGTTTTTTTCCAACTTTTTTAGACATTAATTTTTTATTAACAGTGTCATTTCTTTGTACCTTAAATCTTTATATTTCCAAAATCATACAAGCTTATTAGAAATTGATTCAGGACAGAAACATAAAGTAAATTTTTTTAAAAAATTAGCATTCCCAAACCCTACTATCCTCTGTTCTACTGTGCAGAGGTAACCAATGTTTTTGTTTCTGCATTCTTCAAGACTTTATCTTGTGTGTTAGCTTTGTGTTGCTATAACACAACATCAGAGATCATCGATTTAAAGGAAAGGTTTATTTTGGCTCACTGTTTAGGAAGTTTCAGTCCATAGTTAATAGACTCATTGCTTTTGGGACTATGGTGAGGCAGTAAATGGTATTTGTAACACATGCAAAGGAAGCCACTCATCTCATAACAGCCAAGAAGCAAAAAGAAAGTGTCATAGACCAGTGTTCCATAAGTCCTGTCAAGAGCAAGCCCCTGATGAGGAGACTACTTCCCACTAGTCCCCAATCCTTACGTTTCCACCATCTCCTAATATTGCCATGGGCTGATCAAGCCTTTACCACATAGTCTTTTAAGATCAGTGTAGATCCAAACTATAGCAGTCAGTACATGTAAACACATTTTTCTTTTATTCTTGTTTTTGAACATGAATATGAATAAAATATGCACATCATATTTTACAGTGTTCATCTTTCACTCAGTGACTTATTGAAAGTTATATAGCAGACTCTGGACAAAGACATTTTCTCTTGTGTTTTAGAATTTACAGTCTAGCGGAGATAACTTACTATATCAGAGCATAAAAATATGTACCATACTTTTTCATGACTGTGTAATAGAACATAGTGTAGTAATATCAGTCATTATTTAATCATACAATATTATGAGTTTTCTAATCTTTACTGTTACAGAAAACACTAAAATATACATCTTTTTTACTTATATATTTGAATACTTCTGTGACTATGGGGTAGAATTCTAGTAGGTATTAGAGACATAGTGAGTGAAAATCTCTAGTGAATTTTAATTCCTGTCTGATGGTTAGTGAGAATGCATTGATTTTTGGGGGGTAGCTTTATTTTTGTTTTTTTCAATATTTTTATTTTTTGTTTTGTAAGTTCATCTTATTAAGTCACTCATTAACATAAAAATTTATTAATCTGTTTTTTCTTTACTAGGATATGAAAATTGTACATATTTATGTGGTACAATTTTCTTAGGTTTAATTTGCTCAAAGACTTATACATGTACAAAAAGGGAGCAGTCATTCTACATCATTGGCAAAGCAGAAAAATTAATAGTAGAAGCATTTTAGAGATTTTAGGTTTTCTTTTTTAGGTAGTATTAACTAGAATGTTTCTAGTGAATGTTTAACCCTGTCTTTCTAAACATTTTTCCCCTATGCCAGATTAATTATTGTTGATGCTAAAATTCATATTTTATTAATGAAATCCAGTATGTTGATAACTAAAGTAAAAAGTTTTTAGTATTTTTTAATTTCCTTAATTTGAATGAGTAATTTTTAAATTTTGGGTTTCTTCTTAAAGAATCAAGATTATAATTATCTTTTTTTCTTTGTAGTGTGGGGAGGTTAATGGAAGGACATACCTTGTTATGGTGTTTATTTCAGCATAGTTTACTTATCCTAATCTTATAATTGTTGAAAAGATTGAGGTTGTTTCACAATGTTCTGATGTAACAATATAATCTTCGTAACTATTATATAACACTGAGTGACTATCTTAGCAGAATTATGTAATTTATTTAATTGCAAATTACTTTTTGTTCCTACAGTTATTAATATTTCACACTGTCTACCCAGTGAACGTTTCATCAGATGCCCCTTTGGCACCTCAGACTGAATACGTTGAAACTAAATTTATTTTTTCCTCTTTGCAGAACCTCTATGTAGCAATACAAAGCAATAGTTTAGCTGCTTAGCTCTTGTCTATGGGTGTTTTCATATTACAATAACAAAATTAAATAGTCATGATAGAAACCATATGACCTACAAAGCCTAAAATATTTACTATTTGGACCTATTTTCCCATGTCTATTCTAGAACATTGAGAAACACCAAAAAAATTCAGTGATGCCAAAAATATTTGTTAAATTAAAATAGGGAACAGAAACTTGAAAACTGTATTGAAAAGAGAGATAGTTAATGGCTAATATTAATGCTGAACTCTTAGAATTACCTGCTACTGAAGTTGATGCATCCAGTATAGGATTTGGGAAAATCTTCCCCAAACCTAATCTGAACATCACAGAAGAAACTAAAGAAGACTCTGATGAAATGCCCTCAGAATGTATTTCTAGAAGGGAGTTGGAAAAGGGCAGAATTTCCAAAGAAGGTAATATTATGAAATAAACCAGTTTATATTCCATTTCACAGTTCTTTAACTACACAGAAACAAAACAAATCCATTTATATCAAGAAACATAACTTAAAGCATAAACATCAGTTTCTATCTGATTAATGTTTGTTATCTCTTTTGGGTTTTAAACCCCATACTTCATAGGTAAATTTCCTTTCCATACTGTTTCCTGCTTATATTCATTTGGGAAAAATATTTCTTTTCATTCCTAAAACTTTTTTATATGGCATGTAAAACAAATAATTATATCCACAAGTCTGGAGTTATGTGTTACAAATATAGAACTGTTAATTGATAATTTATTTTTCTCTGTTGTGGATTTAACATACTATATCTGAGATGCATACAAAGCAACTCTAAAACAATGTTGATGATTAAAAATGCATATTTTAGGATTTTATATTCTCACGTAATAGTTTTTCACTTTTAAAAGATTTTTTACTGTTTAGTTCATTTCAGAAAAATATAAGGTTTTTGGACTGTTTGTAACATGTAATTTTTTTTCCACAATAATGAGAGATAGACTTCCAGCTAGTATTTTTGCATATAACTTCTAGTTATGAAGAACAGATTGCTTAGTAAACTTGGGGAACTATAAAGGGAATCTGAAATACATTTGTCCAAAATACACGATTGTTATTTTGTAGTACTTCATAATTATTTTTGAATATGGAAGTGGCTGGTGGTTTGGAAAATTTATTTTAATCAAAATGTTATACAAACAATATCAGATATGCTTTACTCTTTAATAAAGTAACTCATCTTAGGACCTTTAATAGTAAATATTTTATTAAACAGATTTTAGTTATTGTAGATGTCAGAGATTTTTCAAAACAATACTTAAATTTTTTCCTTATAATCATTTCAGATTTTTAATTTGTATTATATACCCATCAGTAATATTGCTACTAATATCTATGGCTTTAACATTTTCATAAAGCCTATTTTACCTGTTTAATAGTTATTTGCATGTTATAAGTTTCTTTGAAAAATTGGTAAAAATATTTTAATTTTATATCTTTGTTTTGTCTTGTCTTTAAATAAGAAATGGAAACACTTTCAGTTTTCAGAAGTTATGAACCTGGCGAACCAAACTGTAGAATATATGTAAAGAATTTAGCTAAACATGTTCAAGAAAAGGTAAGTTGAACTTACAAATCGATTTTGTTATTTTACATTTTCCCCGCTGGCTTCCTTATTTATTTCTTTCTTATTGAATTTCCAGGATCTTAAATTTATTTTTGGGCGCTTTGTTGACTTTTCATCAGAGACACAACGAATCATGTAAGTAGCAATCATAACCTCAAGTTATGTTTTGGTTTTTCTATGTTGTAAATTTAACACTTTTTGTTATGCCACCATTTTCCTTTTAAAGATAAAGATTGAATGAATATATTGGTGTATTTTCTTTCACAAGTAACCTTTTAGACATCTATTATAGGAATTGACAAACTTCTTTAAATGGACAAACAGGAAAAAATACAATGTTTTTATTTTATTGCAGGCCATGTTGTCTGTAGCTAATCATTTTTGTAGTCCTAGCTTCAAAATAGCTGTGATACATAAACAAATATTTATGGCTTTATTCAGGTATATCTTTACTTATAGGAATGGACTTTTGGTAAATTCTGCTCCTGTACCCTGCTCTAAAGCACACGTGTTCAGGCTTTAATATACCGCACAATAATCACCTGAAGATTGTGGTGAAGCAGTTTCTTGGGCCCATCTCCAGAGAGTCTGGTTTTCTAGAGTGTAATAAGACTCATGAGTTTGCATTTCTCAAAAGCTTTTGGGTGATTTGAAGCTACTGGTCCAAAGAGGACACTTTGAAAAATATTATTTTAGTGGTTTATCCAAGAATATACAGTAACCAGGAAAGTTTTTTTAAGAATTTGTACTCTGGCAAGAAAGTTCTCATCTTTTAATTGAACTGTATTAGTCAAAGCTAGCAATTCTGTGAAAGTAGAAAAAAGGGATGTGATTCATTATTACTATAAAGCTAATATTTGGAGTTATAATTTCATTTTTTAAAATTTTGTACTAGTTAATTTCAAAGTAAAGATTCTTTGTCATATAAATAAAAAGTAGAATGAAGTAGAAGATGAGAAATGTTTGAGTGGAGTTAAAATAACAAGTTAGTTTTGTTTTAACTTTCAGTCAAAAAAGTACTTTATAAGTCTTATCTGACCTGCATGTCTTTTTCAATAGATATACAGAGATAAGACCACATCTTAATATGCTCCATCTGTATTCATTAGTGGCAGATGTCTCATCAGGATATCAAGTTTATTTTTCTGGCCATGCAAAATGCTGTTCTTTGTTGTTGTCAATAGGACGTGATTGTACAGGGGGAAAAAAATTATATATGCATTCATATAAGTATGTTTGTGTATATATGTAAACATTATTTTCAGTATTGTCTATAATCAGAATTTGAACTGAAAATATATTTCTATGTTGAGAAAACTGTAGGTAGCAAAATAGTATATTGTTTCCCATGAGACTGACCATGTGATTAAAAAAGGTCAGTGCATTTTTTTTAATTGATACCTTTACATGTTAGTATTCTTTTCCCATCCAGTACACCATATCTTAGTGGAAAACTATACTCTCATTTTTCTAAGTAGTTTTGGAGTATAGATTTCTCTCAGAAATGTTGAAAAAATGAGTATGTTGTAGAATAATAGAAAACTGTACTAGGAATAAACTCTGTGATTTGAGCCATCTACTTTTCAAAGTCTTCTCTCTAGGTATCACTTTAAAATGATAGTTTTGACTAGAAAATAATCAAGGTCTTTTTCTATCCTGATACTATAATTTCTTTCCCTTTTTTTTCCTCTTATTAGTTCTTTTTTAGTTATACATGGCAGTAGGATCCATTTTGCTATAATTTTACAAGCATGGAATATATCTTATTATGATTAGGACCCCATTCTTATGGATGTACACCATAGTGAGATTCACTATGGTATGTTCGTATATGTACATAAGAAAATTATTTCAGATTTATTTCACAGTCTTCCCTTTTCTTGCATGCCCTCCTTTCCCTTCATTTCACTTCATCTAATCTACTGAATATCTATTCTTCCCCTCTCCCTGCATTATAATTTTTTATAGTAATAATAATAATATAATAAATTACTCAGTTGCTTATATTTGGTTCCTATTAATCTTCTATCCTTGGTCGTATGGTTTATTTTTTGTTTATTTGTTGTTGTCACTTTGAGCAGAAAGTATTGAATTGATTGCAAGAAACTTTTTGAAAATAGGGATATATGTGGCAAACCTAAGTAATAGAAACATACCTAGCATGCACAGGACTCTGAGTTTAATCTCCAAAACAATAACAACCAAAAACTGTGTGTGCTTTTACTGTTACTTTATAACTTTTAAATAACCAAAATATATGTGTAAGAGTTAAAATATAGAGATTCACACATCATGAAATTTGTATTACCTACTTGTAGAAAAATAGAATACAAAATAGAATTTTAGAAAGCCTGACTAATGTGTTAATCAGAGAGTATAGTCATTTTTATTTTGAAATAGCAACTTTTGAATTGTTGAACACATTCTTATTCATTGCATCAAAATAATTTTACATTCTTTGAAGCAAAACTACTTTTCTTCCTTGACTTCTAGGTTTGATATACGCCTGATGAAAGAAGGTCGCATGAAAGGACAAGCTTTCATTGGACTTCCAAATGAAAAAGCAGCAGCAAAAGCCTTAAAGGAAGCAAATGGATATGTTCTTTTTGGAAAACCCATGGTGGTTGTATCCTTTAAATCAATCTATTTCAAAACTATGTAATTTTGGGGAAAAGAGTATAACTGAAATTAATTCTATGTTACCCTTTAAAAAGCTCATCTGGCATTCTACCTTGAAATATGCAGTTACAGTTAAACTTTCTTAGCTGAGTCAGGTGATGATTCTATTTAGACTTTTATTGCATGAGGTTATTAAATTTCAGCCAAGTTTACTTAGTATTTCACTTACACAGCTCAAAAGTACATCTTCTTACTAAGCCTTACAAAGGGTATCTGGAAATACATTTGGAGTCACAAAAACATTATTCATTATACCATTATTATTCTCTTGTATTATTATTCATATTTTTGCTTGATAATTTTAATATCCAGACTATATCATTGGTTAATCATCTTTTAGTCATTAATGTATAAAGGTAGAAAGTCCAGGTATAAAAACTAATGATACTAAAGGAAAGGCTAATTTTTATTCCCCTCCCCCCACGATGATTATGTAGAAAAAAAATTACTTTCATTTTTGTGAAGGAAACCTTAATTTTAAAATATTAGCAGTTTGCTCGATCTGCTAGACCCAAACAAGATACAAAAGAAGGGAAAAGAAAGTGTTAAATATTAACAAAGGTAAGTGTGGAGAAAACATAAAAAGACAAGACTTTCTATACAAGCAAAATTAAAGAAGTGTAAAAGCCTGATAGAATAATAATTATAATACCTCTTAAGAATTTTAAGGAAATTTCTGTGTATACAGTTGATTCCAGAAAACGTCAGAATTATTGACTGCAGAATAAAGTTCATTTGTATGTAAAAATTAAGTTTGGAGAAAGAATAAAGTATATGTCTATTAGTATTTATTTATAAAGAAGCGTGTTTTAACCTTTAAAATGTTAAATCCCTTAGAGAGCTTGGTAAAACAGTCTGCTAGGCTTCTCCCTCCCTACCAAGAATTTCATATTCAGGAAAACTGATGTGGGTGACAAGTTGTCCTAGTTTTCCTGTGACTGAGGGATTTCTCAGTATATACTACCTTCAGTGCTAAAATGATCCGGCATGCCAGAACAAGCTGGTTACTCTGGGTGGCACCTGGTAATTTATGTAGCGTGTTCCCTCGTAATAGTAAGGCAACTTGGTCCAGAGCCCACACTTAGAAACTGACAGGAAACAGTTAAAGCAAGATTTTCCAACTCTTAAAATTCTGCAGTGCTGAGAATATACAATTAATTATTAATATAAAATGTTAAAAAAATTTTGTGGAATTAATTTTTTTTCCTCTGGATCAAGCAATTTTAATATTATGATTAGAAATAATAAATTGGGCATTATATATTCTAAAGTTTGTTACTTAAGAAATAAGCAGAAGTAAATTACTTTCCTTTTTTTAAAAAAAAATTTTCTCCCTTTTTAAACTGGAAGGACATGAAATAAATTGGTCAAAATTACTGGGTCTAGCTGAAAAAATGCTAAATAAGAAAAATTTGCAGTGTTTAGTCTATCTGAGATGCCTTGGATATTTGAATTTTGTTTCAAAGTATCTATACTATTGTAACCAGAAATCAAGTATCTTAGGGGAAAATTGAATAATTTCAGTATGTTTTAAAGTCATTTATTTGTAAATCTAATGCTGAAAAAATAAGAAAAAAATTAAACTGCATTCTGCTGTTCTTCTTTAGAAGCATTCCTGCGTAAATACTGCTGTAATACTGTCATGCAAAGTGTATCCTTTCTTGTTGTATCCTTTTTGGGGCAGTGTTTTTTGGTTTTTTCCTAGAGATATTTTTTCCCTTTCCTATCCACTGATCCAGATTAAGTAGTCATTTTTCTATACTTTTATTCAAGTGAACTATTTCTAAAATTATTTCTATAGCTTGAGCAGGTTTGTTGTTGAATTTTCTATGCTTTCATTTACGTTGTATAGTTTTGCCAAGGAAAGTTAGTGAATCAGGTCAACTTAGAGAATGTATGCATTTGTTTTAACAGAGAATGTGGTCTTTCTTCTATTTATGTATTTCCTAAATCTAATTCAGTAACATGCTTTTTATTTTATGATACACCTGGTTTAGGTGTTCTGTATAACATGCTCTCCAATTTGAATGGGAATTTTTTTAAATGTACATATATTGAAATAACTGGATTTCTGTATAAATGCCAAATAGGAGTAGCGCACCTCACATATGAAGTCTTCTTTTTGAAATCTTTTTTGACAGAGAGCAGTAGAAGTTTCTTCTCCCTGTTTCTTTTCCTAAACAAACAAAAAATAATAATAAGGAAAGAGAAAAAACATAATGTTGACTTAGGGTAGTTCAGTAAGTGAAAAGAAATGATCCTGGTAGAAATATAAGAACATAGATTTCCAGACCAGTTGGTGTCCAAAATCCACTGGAACACAGTGGTTCTCAAATTTGGCTGCACATTGGAACACCGTGGGAACTTTAAAAAAAATTATATATTTATATTTATATATGTGTGTGTGTGTATATATATATATATATATCTTTAAAAAGGGGGAAAAATAACCTTAAATATATATTGATATCTAGTTCCTTCCCTCCCACAGAGTTTAGATTTAATTGGTTTGGGGCGTACCATGGGCGTTGAAATTTTTCAAGCCTTTCTAATGTGCAGTCAAAGTGGAAAGCCACCAAAGAAGGGTTTTTATGCATAAAGATTCCTAGACTATGTGAAACAACACTGATGAATTAGAACCTCTGAGAATGAGGTCCAATAACCAAATTTGAAAAGGTTTCCTTAGTAATTTTAAGGACTGTCCTATTGGGATACTACTTTATTAGAGTAAATGGTTGGCCACCTATTACCAACTTTGTCATCCAACCTTTTATAAACAGGAAAATAAAGGGGTAGAATCTCTGCATCTCTTTGTGGGAAACTTTGCTATTATACATACTATGAAAACTACTCAAAATTTTGTTAAGAACCATTATAACCCTAAGAGTTCAAAAAGTTCATATATAACTGAAATTACAATTTTTTTGATATGCACAATTAAAATGCTTTGTTTTCTAATGTTATAAATCAGTTTCTGGGAAACATGTTTATTTGCATAAAAATTTTGTTGTACTGACATGATTCACTAATTTTCTAAGTAAAAATGTTTTAGCTTTTAGTTATTTTTGAACTAATAGATTATTTTATAATCATGATTATTTTTAATGTGCTTTTCTGATATTTTAGGTTCCTTTTGAATTCCATATCTTTCAAGTGCTTTCCAACTTTGATGAGAAGAAATTGACCATCTGGCTATGGAATTGTGCGTAACAGCTTTGAAAGTATATTTAAAAATTAAATCTATATGCATTTAGATCAGATTATTGAAGATATATAATGTGTTTTAATGATTTCTCTCATATAATAAATTATTTTCTTTCCAATAAAATATTGCTTGTATTTTTAATTATGTTAGTTTATATATCTAGAAAAGTATAAATCATATGAATTTCTCACTAAGATAATTTAATAGTAAATTTTAAGTATTCTTTTATGATTATATATATTACCATTTTCATTCTTAACTTGATACAGTGCACTTTTTCTACAATAATCTTAATTCTTATAATTATTCTAGTAGGTTTCTTTGGTAGTGGGAAATTTGTTCCAGTTTAGGGATTTTGTACCCTTGTCTTAAGTTGAAATTTCATTTTTATACCCCTGAATCTCTTACCTACTAGAACATCATTCACCTGTGAAAATGTTTCCCATGTGGATTTATTCTATTCCCCTTAGTAAAATTAGTTCCGGGGATATATAAGTGGGAAAATTTGATTTCTTTTTTTTAAAGTTTACTTGTTCTACTTATAATCTGTGAGTATGTGATAACCTTCAAATTAGAGTCACTGCCAACAGATCTTCTGTAAAACTGTAAAAAAACAGGCATACAGATAATGTAATAGCAGTAGAGAAGAAGACATTATACAGGTCTATATGTTTGTAGTTTGGTAGATAGTACAAACATGAAAGTTTTGTTTTTTCTCAGTAAAATAGGAAGTGACATTATAGAGAACAGAGACAGAGTCATGAATAATTGAGGAAAGGAAGAAGGTGGTTAAAATAACAAGGAAAATGGAAGGATAAATATACTCTTGGGATGACTGGCTAGGTAGTACCTAAAATACTTAAGTGTCTTTAAAGTTTCTGGTTGTTAATTTAAGTGAGATTAGTCAACATGTTTTGAGTTTTTCTCCAGTTAATTTCCACATGGGTGCCATCTCTATGCATAGGCTCAGAGTTGAATTTGATGAAAATTGAGATTTTTAAAGGTAAATATGACAAATTTGGAGGAAAGCAAAAGTATTGATATTCAAGAGATTGATTATAATGAGTCACAATGAAAGTATTCTGGTTAAGGAGTAAAGTAAGAGAAAGTTGAGATGTGGTAGAAAATGGTATAGCCAATTGTAAATTGCAGTATAGTTGTAGATGTGTTAAAGTTTCTTACTAGTAGTAGGAACTAGAAATTTGGTTGTTTGAAATAAGAACAGGGTGACTAAAATTGAAAATATCAGTGCAGTGATTAATGACTGAAGTTCTAGGATGTGAAGATGGGAATAGGATGAGGCCAAATAATGGAAAGAGATGAATTTAAGAAATTAATAAGAAAAGTTTGAAAGTATTATGTAAGTGGATTTTGAAATTGTCAAGAATTATGACAAGAGCCAAGGAGTAAATTATCCTTAGAGCATATAAATGTCAAATATGTAAGAAACAGTAATTTAAAAACTTTAAAACTCTTGAGTCCCTATCCTGCAATACTGACAGGGAATTAAATAATAAACTATTTGACTTTACTGAGATATAATGGTTTTATGAGGATGGGTTTTAAATTGAAATCTTGTATCTATGACTTGACTTTTAGCCTAACTTGACTTTTTTTCCTCATTTTCCATGGGGATAATAGTATCTACTTTAAGGTTGTAAAGACAATTTGGTGAACATAAATACTGAATACAAGTCTGATATATGCTATTCAAGTATTATGTTAGCTCTCATGGTAGTGGTTTTCAGCTGTATTAATTTCTTTAACATTTCTGATACAATAATTTTGGAAGGAAAAATGTATTAAGCTTACAATTCTGAAGGTCCAAGAATATGCCACTGACCTTTTAACTCTCAGGGTTCCAAGGTGTATGGCATCACAGAGGCAGGAGTGCATGGTGAGAAGAGATCACATAGTGAAACAGGAAAATCAAGAGAGTGGGAAGGGGCTAGTCTTGCTCTTTTGCAGGAACCCCTTTCTTGGGAATTAACTGGGTTCCCACAAGAACTATTAAATCTTGGCTGAGGGTGATGTCCCTAATGACCCCAGTCATTAGGGTTACTAGGCTGGTACAAGGTTCCACTTTTACAGTTTTCTCCATTTCAAAACTGCCACACTGAGGAACAAGCTGCCAACGTTTATACCCTTGGAGGACAAGCTGAAACTGCCATACTATAGTATCAGCTCATCTCATTTCTGAGTTGTGTGAATATTCTTAAGTGTTATAAAACCTCAGTCATTCTTCCATTTTAATTATCACTTAGATGCCCAACACTTCCACTGGTTTCTTGCCTCACTTGGAGGATGATGCTATTTAACAAATTTAGGAACTTAAATATTGAGGATTTAAGTATCATACAAATATACCCTACCTATTCTCACTTCATAAATAGAGCATATGGCCCAAGTGTCGAATTTGAAAGATTTCTAGAAATTGTTCAGAAACTTTTTTTCCCCTTCTGGATAGAAATAGACCTAGATGTGTTAACCATAATCCTGTCAGTAATCTAATGATAGTTCCTGGTCATTCCTGAGTCCAAAAAAGGAGTTATCATGGTATTGAGAAAGTACTGATAATATAATTTGAGCCTATTTAGTTCCCTGTTTCTTTTTCTTCTTACTAGAGGATTTGGCATGTAACTGGCAGTGTATAGGTCAAATACATTACAGCTGAGGGTGAAAAGTGAAATTTTATCTAAAGGAAATTTCATCTAAAGGAAGAAGCATCGTACTACAAAATCAAGTGGGAAACTAGGTATTAGGCAGCTGAAAACAAAAGTATTACTGCAATGTAAGATATGTAAAATTTATTCTTATGGTTTTCCATTTGTGCCTCCATCCAAGGCTGGACTAGTGTGAGGTGAATGTGACACCAAGGGTATAATATATAAGGAGGCAGTTTCTCTCAGAATGGCACAAATACCCTTCACCCAGTCCTATTCATGATTGTGCCTTTTGTATTGATAACATGAACAGAAACAGCATAATCAATCTTTATTAGGTAAATCACCAAAGGGCAATAGTTTTCAAGTTGCTGTTTTAGATTCTATTTAGAAAATACTGTTGTGCAAATGAGACTCCTTCAGAATCAAGTCCAAAATATTCTTTCAAAGAAGGAAAGGGAAGAAGTCAGTACCTATGAAGCATTTAACACTCAAATGGTATTTTGCTTAATGGTGATAGTAGTTATTTTATCTTTATTCCACTTCCCTTTGTAGTAGAAAGTTCTTCATGTCTCATCTGTAAGAATAACATATACATTACATCAATTGTCTTTACTAATACATATAAAAATGGTAACTTCATTGGGATTATTCAGAAGAAATGAGAGCTAATCATATGTGTCAGTAACACAAAAGGTAGAACTGATGGTTCTTAAGGGAAATAGAGAATTTCCACTTCAAGTACTTTACTGTATATCCTACCCTGAGATTTCATGCAAAGTACAGTATTCACATGAAAGTCATGAGGGTACAGGGAGCAAGACAATTTATAAGCTTTAAAGCAACATGGAAAGTGATAGGATATTGACAGAAATTTAAAATATTAATGATTAATATACAAAGACCTGAGAGGCAATTATATCTATTTTTAAAACGTATCAATTAAAAATGAGAAAAGGGGTATTTGACTCTAAAAGAACAATTCTAAAATAATTGTATCTTTTTAAAATTATGAGGGAGCACTTATGGTCCTTATGTGCTGAAATCTTTGAAAAATCTAAAAATTCAAGAAGAAAATATGAGCAATTGTATGAAACTTTTCAGAGCTTAGAAAGATTGGTATACAAAATACTGCTTTACATTTTTCTTGGGAACATAAGTAAACATTACAGAAACGTTCATGGAATTCATAGTACCAACTGTGTGAGGTAATAGTTTCTTCTGTGGAAGGAAAAGATGAAAAAAATTCTATGGTTTGTGGACAACTGTGTGTGTGTGTGTGTGTGTGTGTGTGTGTGTGTGTATATGTGTATTATGTTATTTAAAGATGTGTGTGTGTCTGTACATGTCTATTATATTACTTAAAGAAATTTTTGGCAAAATATCAACTTCCATTAAATCTGAGTCATGGGAAATGGGGCCTCTTTTTTTTTTTTTTTTTTTTAATAGACTTTCTGTATATTAGTGTTTCACAACTTAAACAAAAATAAAATAATCAAATGCCTATAAACCAGTGTTTCTCAACCATTTTTTCCCCTATATTGGCTTTGCGCCCAGGGAACATGTTTTAGACTTTTTTTTTCAATCCTAATCACCTTCTGCAGTATTTTAAAGCCACACTATACTGTATATCTGTTTATGTGTCCGTATGGATACAGAGTAAGATTTTTCTCCCTTCCCTGCCCCTGGAACCAAATTATATACCACATTAAGACACATGATCCTGTTCAATAAAACATTTTAAAAATTAAGACCTTAAGAAATCATAGAGTGAATTCTGTAACCGTAGCTGATTTAAACTAGACATCAATAATAGAAAAAAAGTACATTGCTAATAACATGGGTTTAAATGGACTATTCAAGAGAAATTAGAAAATATTTGAATAACTGAGTAAAAATAAAAATACAATATCAAAATTTGTGAGCTATAACTAAAGGAGTATTTAAAAAGAAAATCACAAGTTGATTTAATTTTTCTTTTCTTTTTTTTTTTTTTGGTTGCAGGCATTGAACTCAGGGGCACTCACTGTAAGGCACATCCCCAGTCCTATTTTGTATTTTATTTATAGAGGCAGGGTCTCACTGAGTTTTTCTTAGTACCTCGCTTTTGCTGAGGCCGGCTTTGAACTTGTGATCCTGTGCTTCAGCCTCCTGAGCTGCTGGGATTACAGGCATGTGCTACCACGTCCAGCTCAGTTTTTCTTTTTAAGAAACTAAAAATGGAAGACTAAATTAAACCCCCAGAGCAAGTAGAAGGAAAAAAAAAATTAAAACGAAACTTGAATCAGTAAACTTAAGCATGAAACAGAAAGAGAAAATAAATTGTGCAAATAATAGCTAATTCCAGTAAATGACCAGAGAAATTGAAATAGTTATTGCCAGGCTACCAAGAAAAGATGAATGACAAATGTCGAGAGTAAAAGGTTATCATTGATGAGGGCTATCATTAAATCCCCAAAT